CGCTCTTCTCACTAACTATATCACCAAAATAATGCTCAAATAAAACTTACACTGGGGGGGGAAAAAAAAAGTGTGAAGTATAAAGCCTACAATCAGCGAATGACAAAACTCAAAGCTCAGTGTTTCCTGCCTGATCTCACTGTTTTTCACACTTATTTACTTTTCCCCCCTTACAAACGCACAAGTGAAAGGATTGGTGCAAGTAATTTGAAAATAGAGCTTGGTGATGATACTTCAGTCCTCCCAGAATTTACTTGGTGATGGATAAGAATGAAAGGGTGTGAAATTATTTCTTGGTGCTTCTCTAGCCTTGCCTTCAGCTCCAGCTTGGTACTTCAGTTTGCTTCCAGCTGTTTTCTACCCAAAGTAAAATGTTTCTTAGCCATGTGCTGCCTCTATTTCTGTCAAGTGGGGTTAGGAACTGGTGTTGAAAAGACAATATACTGCACTCTACCTCCTGGAAATGCCTTTTTACCATGAGCCATCCTTAAAGGCCAGCTGTGCCCAACCACACAGCTGTTTCACACAAAAATAATAGCTTAAAGCTGCTTGTGTCAAGCCCAGGAATCTGATCCTGTAAATTTATGAGAGATGAATGCTGTGCTAGACTCTGTGAACTTTTTTATATAAACAAGATTATAAATAATATAATAAAAATGAATTACTTTGTAGACAGTAAGCTTTACATATAGGTAGCTAATGCCCCGGTTAGGGCTACTCTTTTATGTTTGTGTTCCAGTCAACCAGCGCAGCCACCAGCCTAACCTCCAGCGGGAAATGCCACATTCTGTTATTCCTTAGAATACAATAAAGCCCTTTATTTATGGCGAGCATTAGTTTTGCAGTCACAGTGACAGAATTCTTATCTTAGCAGTGCATCAAGGCTTTCCTTCCCTCCTTGTAATGGTTACCTCTGAAGTGGTTTCGTTCTTCTTTTGTCAGGCCTGAACATATGGTCTATCTGCCAGAGTTAGGGAGAAGCTCTCGACCCCAGAGATTCTCTTTCCAGCCAGATGTATCAGAAGAGACACAAAGTTCATAAGAAGTTCACTTTTCTTATGAAGCTCTAGTGAGTTAGTTCCAATTCCAACCTGCTACTTTCACATGATTGTGGTTGACACTAGAGTATTGTAAACATATCCAATTATTATATGGTTTTACAGATCACTTTTATGAGAAAAGCTCACCTGAGTGCATTTTGTGCAGCGTCATTTTCCTTCAGGAGCGCAGGTGTCGCAGTTCAAGAAACTCATGTTCTCTAAAGAGAGATTTTCAAATATTGTCTCTGAAATTCTGCATGTCGAGCATGCACAAATCAGGTGGGCCATTAGATAATAAAGATTGTGATTTTTATGGTTGAATGTAGGCTACTCCTTGAGCAAAATTAACTAATTGGAAAACAAGGCAGAGCGAGCTGTAGGCTGTGTAGTTACAGCAAACGGGTCTTTCATTTGGCAGATATTCTAGGCAGAAGTTTTTGACTGTGATTGACTTTGGATTGCTATGCTTTTCCTATGAAGTATGAAATAAATGGGCACAAGGAATTATTTTATTAGTAATACTTCAGGATAATGCTCTAATGTTACAATCTGAACTTTATAATAAAAAGTTGCTGTTAAGACTACAAGAGACATTTTAACAGACAAAACCATTTATAGACTCCTTTATTTTTATTAAATTCTATGTGAATTTTATAAGACTCCTTGTAGTCTTGAAGAAAATGAAGGATTAACTGTCCTAAATTACAAGAAGTGGGAAGAAATTCGTAACTGTTTCTGTTTGAGCTGCCATGGAACAAAGCTCAATTTTTCTTTTATGTTGCATGGATTTGTGATCTACTAAATGAGGAAAAAAAATGAGGGCATCAGACTCACTTTCTTATGTGATATGTCAGATAAAATAAAACTGAGCCTAATTCATTATGATTTATGAACAGATGCTCCTGCATATGTGCGTGTGTTTGTGTATTTATGTACTGATACATTTTAAGAAATGATTGCCCTCTCGCTAATGATTGCAAATAATTATTTGTGAAAAAAGGTCCCATTATCTAGGCACCTAAAATTGTTACTAACCTCCGAAAACACTGCTCTTCAGTTTCCACTTCCACTCCTGAATTCCCACCAAGCCTTCTCCTCCTCCCCAGTGTCACCTAGGAACAGGCATGTCAGTGTGCAGGAAGATACAGTCATGCAGTTCTTTCTGATTGCCAACACTGAATAAATTCACATTCACTTATATCTGTGAAAAACTGACAGATTGTGCTTGTACATTTGAGCTTGGACAGTCTCTTCCATCTCAAATTTTGCTTTATTCTCAAGCTGGAAAAAGTCTGAATCCTTTCCATTTTTCAAACTGGGTAATAACCTGTTTTCCTCAGGGGAAAAATTTGTAACGGAATACAAAATGCTCTTCCGCGTCCAAATAGTCTTACCATGTGCCTCCAGTATTTTGCATTGGTCTACAACAATATTTCTAACCAGTACTTCAGCAGGTCAGCTGAAAACATAGGGCAAAAGCCCTAGACCAATATCAGCACAGTTAATCTTTCGTAAAGAGCTTTCCTTCGTGCAGTGATAACTTTAGATGCTTGCAGAAAAAGACAAGTCATTACCAAACTACAAAAAAAGAGAACTTTCTTACCACTTGTCACGCACTGCAGTAATTTTGAAGGACTAAACATCATTAAAAGAAAAATCTTTGTGTTTCATGTATCAGAGATCCATAAAGTGAGCATAGGTATAGTAATGAATGTTAGTTTACTGAATTTAAATTAGCAAACTCTAAACTTTGCTTGACAACTTTAATAAAATACTTTAACCTGTCAACAATAGTTGTTTGTCACTGTCATTATTTCAGCACAACTGCAATATTTAGCAGTTATACAAGTGCTAAAGTCTTCTGGTGTTTTCCAGAAATGCCTGCATAACAATAAACCCCTTCCTTTCCTCAGTGACTCAGGATTTTAAGCAGTAAGAGAGTCTAGCAGGTATTTGCCAGTGTGATAAAACTGCTGTAGGCTTGCCTAAGTCACCAGTAAAACCCTCATGAGTTCACCTTTCCTGATGGTGGAGTTGGCTCTGGAGCTTATCACATCAACTAACCCTGAGTTAAAAAGGCAGTAGAGAGTCTGCTGTGGTTGGCACATCCCTAGCTTAACTCCTGTTCCTTTCTGATGTTTCTCTGTAATTCAGCTGTTTTCTGAAGCTGAATTAATCACATTAACAAGCACTCCCATGTTCCGATAGAAGTATTAGCTACTCAAGGTAACTTTCAGTGCTTTTCTTTTGGATCTGTTCGCTAGTTATCTTGTTGACCCTACTATATTGCACTTGTACATGAGCTAAATTCCTTAACTGGTGTATCCTCGCAAAGTGTTACTTGTAGTGGGTTTCATATGATGGTTTTTAGGGTGAGAAAAAAGGAGTTCACATGTACATTCTATGGCCGTGCAACACCAAGACTGGTGGTGGTCTAGGACCCCACCCGGCTGGGGCAGGAAGGAGTGCTATCAACTTGAATCAGACCGGTTTTCAGTCCTCTGACTTTAGCAGTGTTTGTGGGATTGATACTTAGAATTTCCTTAGAAGTTGGTTACTTCCAGGATTTAAAAAAAACCTGTCAGCTGTTCCAATGTGGTTTATAGAGATCATTAGAGTTATAGGAAGGTTTTCTGAAGTGGGTTTTATTATGAGAACAATAAACGTACTCTAACTTACACCATCCGGCTTCACCCACGAGCTGGAATTTGATGATATAAGTGTGAGAAATGAATGTGAGAAAAGAAGGTTAAATGCTTCCTTATTCAAGAAAAGTTATACGTGTTTCAGATAAAATGAAGGACTCCTAATGACATAGTACAGCTGTGATCAGGTCACTGTTAATTTTGAGAGCAACCTGGTTCGATATAAACTCTGACCTTTTTCTTGCTCTAAATTTCACTACAAAATAAAAACTCAATTTGTTATAGAAAAATGCTGAGGGTCATGAGGACAGAATACAGTTTGAACCAGCAGATTCATCATGAAAATAATATAAAATGTGTGTTCTTCCATGTTAATGTCCTAGCAAATATGGTTAGCAAAATACATTTTTTTTTTTTTTTAATCAGTCTGAAGTCATGGGACAGAGCTAAAGGAACAGGTTTTGAAAGGCCTTGTTTGCCCTACTGAAAGCCAATTTTTTTACACTGTAATATATCCTAACAGTTTGGGGCTTTGTGTACTGCTTCATAGGTTTACAGCTTAATGGTAAACCTCTGGTTAGGTAGGTTATTTATAGGAGGGGAGGAGGAAAAAAAAGGGATCAAAAGGAGGGCTGTGTATATTCTGGATATTGTAATTTTTTCATGGAAAAAGCAGGCACGATCTTATGTAAGATAGGTTGAGGTAGAAGAAAAGAAGTTTAGGGGCGAGTGATTTATCCCCCTGCTTATTTATCTGTTCCTGGATTTATGCATTTAAACTGTGATATTGTTGGGGTGGGACTGTCATTTTGTTTGTGCACTGTCAAGCCCTGTGGCCTTGAACTTCTGAGGAGGTATCCACAGCCACCCAAATCCATGAACTGGCTCTTCCTAAGAGTCATTCAGAGACCTGTGGGGAAAGGTAATTAAGGGAGTTCCCCTGTTGGCATTGGCTATGAAAGGGAGCTGTGGAAGATGGCTGTGTTGGAATATTCTTCTGACAGCACTGCAGGAAAAAAGTATTTTTCCACCTAATTAGTGATTCTTGCCTGGTTGGTGAAGGTTGATGCAGTGGTTTTTTTTCTTTTCTTTTCTTTCTTCCCCTTCCCCCCATCCCACCCTCCTGTGTTACAGATATACGCGGACTGCAGGGATTTCTCGATCAGGCCTCAAGACTGGGACTTGATGTATCATTACAAAAAGTGGACAGGAACATCAGCAGAGTCTTTGCCAACCTTTTCACTACCATGAAAACACAAGAGCTGAACCGCTATCGGGACACATTGCGAAGGGCTATCTTACTCCTAAGCCCACGGGGAGCGCAGACTTTTATTAATGAGGTTAGTGCACAGTTGTTTTTATCATTGACATTTCAGGAACATATGTGATGACTTATGTGATACCTTGCCACGTTTTCTGAAGTGGTAGATTTTGACAGTGCTGGTTGGTAAATGTCAAATAAGATTGTCAGGCTCTGGTGTTGGAGAAGTGAAATATCAGGTACTCCATGTAATGCATACTTTGTGGTTAATGCAAATGGGACAGCATGGGTTGGATGGGTGCTTTCAATATAGTATACAGCTCTATGGGGCAATTCTTTTTTTCTGGTTGTCTTCCATACCAATACTTTTGACTTGGATTTCAACCACTGTCTACAAGTTACCAGAAAATCTACAGTAGTCTATTAGAAATGAAACCGAATGTGCCTGGGAGAGTTGTCTTTACTGGGGAAATCTCCAAATTCATGTTAAAAGGGCATGTTACTGATGTTTGAAAGCTGAATCACGGTGCTTTTATCAAGTGAGAAGTAGAAATTATATGTTTTTCTCTTTTTCTTAATGGTTTCTTGAAATCAATGAGGCTAATTAGGACAAGGAGGTAGCTGTTGGGCAAACTTGTAATTAATGTTGTGCTGTGGGCTAATTTTTGGCATTAATTAGTTTTATCCAGCCTTTTTAATATTAAATAATGAATTATTTTACAGTGCTTTATATGTCAGAGCTGAGAACGAGAATTGGATCTTCGTATAAGTTTGCATGTATTCATTAGCTAAGAATTTGGCAATGAAATAAGGTTTTTTAATTATTTTTTTTTTAAGTAACCAGGGATAAGACTGAACCAAGAAATTAAAATGTGGATGAGACCTGTTTCCAATTATCAGTTTTGCTGCATCAAAGCCCACTAAATTAAAAAGAAAAAAGTCAACTTAAATTAGCTTTTTTTTTTTTTATCATATCAGCATAAGTAAATTCTCCACGTATATGTTCATTGGTGATTTTAAAATTAATAGGGTAAATTTTATCATAAATAAATGAGGCAAATGGGTAGCTTGGGAAAGACTAAGCACAGGGACAAATTCTACTCACGTTTGTGCATACACAGGGATTTTCAGCAGAGGAATGAGGGAGTACTTGTCCTCAAAGTGTAGTAAGGCATATGCAGCTCAGTCAGTGGCTTTAGTTGCTTCATAGTAGGCCTCCAGTTTTTTACTGAGTCCTAACAAAGTATCCAAACCAGATATTAAAAATAAATCATCACGTGTGTTTTATTCAGACCTGCGCTGGGTAGAAAGTCTGGCCCCCTTCGGTGCACAAGGCTCCAGAAATGTTTGTAAGATGGACGTGCATGCACTGTCAGGACGCTGCAGGTCTCTCGAGCGTAGGGGCTAATGCATTAAACTGTTTTACTACTCACTTCACCTTAAAGCAGTGTGTATTATAGGCATTAAGGCTAATGATCTTGATATATTTCCAGATCCCTGCAGGAGTTTAACTGTGGGCAGAAATGAAAAGTAATTTATTTGGCAATCTTCCTATATTGAATCTTGATTGATTCAGAAAAGCTTTATAAAAGAAAATTTAAATCTTAGAAAGGAACTCTCAAAAGGCTTGAGATGTGAAGTGCACGGTATAGGGAAGAATGCTTCGCTAGCGGAGGCTGGGTTTACATTTCGTGGAGAGTTATGATAACTGTGATTTCTCAGTATCTCAGTCAATAAGTGCAACTAATTAGGTACAGCACAGTTTCAGACAGTCTAAAATAACAACTTTCAGCTTAAATGAAATATGTATTCTTACATAATTTACAGAAACACATCATTCACAAAGTGCAGCAGTAAGTGCCTTTGATGGGCTTACATATTTCTACAAATAGTAAATATTTCACGCTATAGGTGCTATATAGCTATAGACTGACTAGTGGTGTTACCAGTCCAGCTCTGCTCCTTGAAAGTTATTTGAGGTTTTGAAACAATTTTGCTTTTCAGTTTTGGGAAAAAAAATCTCAAAAAATGCAAGTAGTAACCTGAGAAGAAAATTCAAAGACATTATTTTTAATTTTGGGTATATTTATTTTCATCTTTTCTTATTTTAGCTCAAGTTACAAATAAGAACTTAGGAACAAAAAGAAGAAATTGGATTTAAATCTTTGTTCCCATAAATATCTGGAAATGGAAAATTCCACGTGAAAAAGAGGTTCCTTATTAAGTTTTTCAGTTTTGCCGAGTTAATATTTTGTAGTAGGGGAAAAATGTCTGAAAAACTTCAACTAGATCTTATTAAAGTCTATTGGCTAATAACATATATCCATAAAAACCAGGTGTTGCATACACGCCCTCCTGTGGAATGCAGAACAAAAATAAGAGACTTTCTTGGACAGTGTCTGGACTATGAACCCTGATATGAATGGTTTTAACATTTTTTTCTTAGCACAAGTCATAGACATGAGCCATTGGAAGCTGGTACAAGATGTATTTTGCCTGTTTCAATATTGCAAGTGGTACCTTCTTCCTGCTAAAATATGGATCCAGATTTCAGCCTCACTTATCTCTTGGGTGGGCCGAAGAGATCTCATGTGACTTTGGATGCACAGATGTAGGGGACTCTGACATCTCATACATGAAGAACTTTCTAAATCCTAGAAGAACTCAATTTTAGGATTGTTCCTTTAATTTTTGTTTAGGCGTCATTTTCACTTTACTGGCTTAGCATCCTCAATGCCTGGTTCTGTTATGTGTCAAACATACTGCAGCAGAAACTACTGACATTTCATAGGTCTTCAAGGTTTATTATTCTGCTATAAAACTGCTTTGACTATAAGAATAGAGAGAGAGGAAAAAAAAATCTTTTCGGTGGTATAGGTATAAACATGGAATCAGCTTTTATTCAGAAAACAGAAGGTAAATGCATTTATAAAATGTTAGCTACTCTAGGTTTTGCATTAAAGGGTCACTTTGGGATTAAAGCAAACCTAATCTAAAGGAAACTTGTCCCTCCTTAATCATTTGAGACAAATGTTCCCTTCTCCACCTGCAAAACTCCCTGATATATTTGGCCTGGTGCCATCGTTCAGTTTATATGCAAAACCAGTCTCAGTTGCTACAGGCATGCATGTAACAACAAAACCAATTTTACATTTTGAAGACCGTGATCTCCTTGCAAGGCAATATATGGAAAGAAAAGAAGCAGAACTAGTAATTCAGAAAAGGGAAGGAGATTTATTACGTCCAGCTATTCTGTTAGCCTCTTTGGCCCAGGCGCAGGATCTGGGACTCAAAAGGCTCCCTCTTTGCGACAGCCAGATTTCACCTGCCTCTTCCATTTACCAATGGATACATTTTTTTGGTTGCAAGCAGAGGTATATTTGTATGGATGGCTTTTATCATTAAGGGCTCTACACTACACAGCGACATGAATACATGGAAAACAGTTCAAAGAGGTGACAGAAACGATAAAAGGATAGGAGAGCGTGACCTACGAAGACAGGTCTCAGGAAGGCACTGTATACAGCCTGCCTAAGGGAACATAGCTGACAAATAGAAGAAGAAACATGAGAGGAGGAGAAGGAGGAATTATTTAAGGTGATCATGGGTTGTCTAACAGGAAGTAACGACCTGAAGCTAAACAGGGAATGCTTTCTAACAGGGAGGTCAGTTAGACCATGTGAGCACTTGGCAAGAGAGGTCAGTGAGGCATCGTTCTTCAGGGTGTTCAAGAGTTCCCTAGATAAAACACCTCAGTAACTTAGTCTGGCAGCCTTTCCTGAACTAGTCTGAAGGATGTTCTAGATGACCCGGGGGTCCTTCCAAAGACATACCAGGAAACATTTGTTGTGTGAATAAATTCAGACTTTGTACGTTTTGTATACGACATATTTGAAGAGGAGGAAGAGATCTTGTAGTTTAGTGTTTCTCAAGTTTCCTATTGCAGATGTGCAGTAGCTGTTAGCTGTGGAGCTTTGGGTTTTTTCTTCTTCACAGAACACATGTGGTTTGTTTGGGATATGTATTTTAATGGACTTTTCTTAAAAACCATAGGTGATATCAGTTGCTTTATAGACTTCAATCATACTACTTTCCAGTATTATTACCTTTACTTTTGAAAACCAGTAAAACAGAGGCTGTAACACAGTTGCACGTGGTTATTAATTGGAAAAAAGAAGGAATTCTTGGCGTTACAAAACCTTTAAGTCAGCATTACTTGGTTTTTGGCAGCTTCACTGAAGTGCAAAATGTTTCTCTTTAGGTGCATCTTTGAAAATGATATAATTACTTGTGTAGTCTATCTTGCCTGTAAGCTAGTAAGCTTACTGCAATAAGGTTGCTGGTGTATATGCATATCACTGCAGCATACCAGCTGAAAGCAGAACTCTCTGCATGCCTAGTATAGTAAACAAGTAAAAAAAAAAATTAATAATGAAGGAGAGCAGATTAATTGCATTAAAAATTATTGTTAAAACCCCAGCAGGGTTATCTGAATCACTGCAATTCCAATTTGAGCTGAAGCTATAAACTTCCAGAATATTATGAAGTTTGTTAAACAGTTGTAATTTATCTCTGCCCTGTTTGTGCAGTCGCCTCTGCATCCCTCACTGGAAAGCAAAGACTGCTCTCTGTTTCTGTTTTACCCTAGCTCATGTCGAATGTTCTGTCTGCTTCTTTAAAAAAAAATATAGATATTCTGCTTTTGGGACCATTTCACACTGATTTGTGGCCTGTCTTTATTCCTGGTCACTGAGGGTGCTGAGTACCTTACTCCCAGCACGCTCCCAGTTGACACTTGTTCGTGAGCAATGCTCCAGCCTTCTCCTTCCCTTCTGCAGTTGGTGACATGCTATTACTTGACTGAAGCGGCAGGAATTATTTAAGGCATCTTGAACAATCTGCACCCACAAGCAATTGTACGAAATAGTTTTTCATAGGAAGCAAAGACCTTCACTTTTCAGAATTTAACAGGGAAAAAACTTTGCTACTAATTTTCTGGCACTTGGCATTTCATATTGGCATGCACCTCTTTTTTTATTTACGTTGCAAATGTTCAGCATATTAGTCCGTATCTCTGTT